ACGCTCAATTTTAGTGGAGTGTCGTCGGATGCACCCGCTGAATTTCAGCTACCTGTGAGGTTTTTGTGGGCGTCGAGATGCAGATACAAACGGCTTCAGCAGGAAGCGAATTTGTGCAACTTTTGCCATTGGCATTTCGCCTTGTTTGCAAGCTCATTTGCCTGCTTCTTCAATTCAATTAAATTAAATTTGTATGCCACTCAAGTTTTGAAGTGCCAGATACTTGCAATTGCATTAAGTCACAATTTTGTGTCGCTGCAAGCGGTTATGCAATCCTTGTAGAGATTTGTGGTTGTAAAGTTTCAAATTAGCTGGAGAAAACAGCTGGTGGAGTATCAAACGACGGCAGAAGTTACGAAATTTAATATCAGTGTGATTAAACAAGTTGATTGACAGTTTGGCTACGAAAGCAGATGCTTACAGTTGGGGTTAAAGTTCCTTGATATTATTAAAGCAGCTAATTACAACCAAAAATTACTTCTATAATTTTAATAAGATGAAAAATAAACTAGTTTATTTTTATCTTTTCTTGAAAATTTCATTAGTAGTAGCACCATTTTTATAACCCGTACAATCTGAATATTGACAATGGTAGCTTTCCAGTTTATCGTCCGACAATTTTAGAGTCTTTCTGATAAATTGCCTTGTTTGTAAACAGTTTCAAGCACTTTTCCCTTTCTTCCGAGAGTGAAGTATTTCCTGCGATAATATCTGCAGAGCTGACCAAGTTTCTTTTTCGCCTTTTCTTGTGGGGCTTTAAAAAAGCGGTTAAATAATATTTGTTTTTGTTTCAATTCGGCTGTTTTAACCGCCGGCGGGTTTGGATGGAATCTTTTCATTGTTGCTATACTTTTTTTTTGTGTTATTCGGCTGGTGGCTTCTTTCGCTTTCATGTACATGCCCCTTTTCTGGGTAGGTGTAGGTGTTGGCCAAAGACCCGCTTGAGGCAATTTCTTATTTACCTCAGTTAATTACACAATTTTATGTAAATTTCACTTTTTGCTGTTACTGCCGTGGCTATTGTTGCCGAGCATTCTTTTGTGCGGCCGCAAATTAATTACTTATTTGCTTAGCCAGCTAGCTATTTTGTTGGCAATTAAAAAGGCTTTAGGAAATCCACTGAAATATTTTGTTCACCTATTTTTTGTGGGCCATCTTTGCAAATTGCAGTCATTTCTCGATAGTCCGGAAAAGTGAAAGGGAATTGCCAAATCTATGGATTGACCAATCCTCAAAACAACAAATAAAAACCAAACGAAGCCGCTGCAGCCGCCACACAAAACTAAGCCATCAACTGCCATCAAAAGCTTAATATGCACATTTTCTGCCGTTTGGAAACTGTCAACAGGGGGATTGCAGGGGATTTCCCCTCAAGTTAACCAGTTCTGCTAAGAGTTAAAAGATCGTAGTTGGTTAGCTACTCAGTTCTAAATTTTATTGAACAAGGAGGCTGATGTGGAAATGAATTGAGCACGATCTCGTAGATTTAACTGAGATTAAGATGCACTGCGCTGATAAGTTAGACAAACAATTTAATGAGCCGTTAAATGTGGATGACAGACCATTAATAAATCAATTTTAGGCAAGGCTTGTCCTAGTTTTTCAAAGCGCTCAAATAATGCGCTAAGATTGCTGCAATTTTTCAAAGCTTTGTTAAGAAATACAATGGCCCTTAGACAAAAAGGTACCAATTTTTATAAATCGTATTGATTAAGTCATACTGATTTATCATACTTCAAAAACTAATAAAACCAAATCAAAACTTTGAAGCAAGCCAACCGCCTAACAAATTTATTTTAATTGCCCCACTTACACAATGTTTAACATGTAAACTTATTTTTGATTCTCCCATTATACAAGAATCTAAGATTTTTCCATAAACATAAAATCTCATTAGCCATTAGATTGATGCTGAAAGTGACATCTGACATGTGCAGCTCTTTTTATGGTCAGAACACAAATTGCACAACATGTCTTCGATCGCCTCGAAAAAAAGATCCTCACATTTTTCTGGCCAAACAACCTTGAAACCAAAAAACGGTGGCCAAAAACTCCAAAACAAACAAGCAAGAGTGGCAAAAGAACACACTGAGATCCAGTGCAAAACTGGAAGGCAAATGCATTCAGTTGAAGTTTTTTTTTGGCTGGCTGCGGGGCAGACAGGAAATCCGAAAGGCAATCGGGGAAAACGAGGCCAGCTTAGATGCCATTGGCCATTGACATGACCGAAAAAACATAACTGGAAAACTAGTAAACTGTGCGACTCGAGAAGCATCTTGCAGTTACCTCAGGCAGTTGCGCAACTGAGGGATTTGAAGAATTTACGGCCTCTGATTTTGGGAGACTATTAATTAGCGTACCATTTCTTGGGGCTCGAAGGTCTTGCGGTTCGAACTATTAAATTCTAATTAACATAAACGGCTTAAATGCTTACTAAATATCAAACAAATCACTTTCACTGCGAAACGAAACCGAATCTGACGACGCAAGGAAATTTCCAAAATTTCGCTTTCATTTTGTATCTCATCTGGCTAAAGCTAACTCTCGTAATACCCGTCTCGGCCAGGCTTGTGATGAGAAATCAATTATGAATTATTAACAAATTAGCCGGCAGCCGGAGTCATGTAACTGACAGATTCATCATGGATCACAACGCCCCTACTAAAATGTGAAAAATGTTACTCTAAACTGGTTTCGATCCGGTGGAATGTAGCGACTTCTACCTGTTGCCGGCTATCTCGAGGTGTATCTTCTCCGATTAGCATAATGCCCATTTGATTTGACAGCCTTCGAAGGGGAATGTTTACGTAACGAAATGGAGTTGGTTGTGGGAGCCCAACCCCAGTTGTTGCTTTAATGGAACTTTCTTTGTTTATCTAAGGAAATGTTTTAGTTGTTAACAAATGTTATGTTATTTCTTGGGCCCGAAAACTCGAATTTGATTAGGAGAAATCCATGTATGTTTTGTTAACGAGTTTAGGCTTTGATAAAGTAAAAACCTTTACAAAATTTCGATTGATTAAAGCTTTGAAATATTTTCTAGGCCTTGTGTTTTTCTATTGTGTTGACAAGTGAAATTAATAATGATTGGTGTTTAAGGTTGAAACATTTGCCACTTTTCTTTTTATTGAAAGTCTTTAAATGAAAAAATGAAAAAATAAATAAAATATTTAAATAATATTTAAAGTACCAACAAATCTTAAATTAATTTATTATTCCAAGATTCCATTTATCACAAATAACAGCAATTTGTGGCTTTTATGATAAATGCTTGTGTGCACTGTTTAGTCACAGTTTTCACACCCACACTCTGATTGTCGATCATTTGACAGATTTAACCCAGTGGCAAACAGTTGGGTATCAACCACGTGGGTTGCGGTGGCATTTGGCGACAGCTCCAACCACCTTCCCTCAATGGGTTAATGCGCATGCGTAGCGTATTAACAGTTGGCCATCGATGGCTGGTGTTTAAAAACGAAAGCGCTTTGCATACGAACGCCGTGAAAATGTTGAATGAGTACGCTAAACCACGAAATTGACATGTTGAACACATGCAGTACACTCATGTGAACAGATAGAAATGGAAAGAGATATGTGTACAGCCCTATGAGGAGTGGGGTTCAGTGGCTTTTGGGACGGGGATGCTGATTGCTTTGGCACTTGATTGATGACTGATTGACGTTTTCACCAGCCAGGCAATTTGTAGGGAAAAGTCATCTTCGAAACGTAAGAAAATAGTGACTGGAGCTGGGGAAAAACTGAAGTTTACGATGAGATGACAAGGCAATGGACTTTTTTCTTTACGATTGGCTTAGGCGGTCTTTAAGTGATTGCAGTGAAAAGATACCCAAAGATTTTTTATATTTATTCCATTAAAACTAAGCCCCTTAGTCTTTCATTCACCTGTTTCGAGCCCCCCGAACTCATATCCAATTCAATCATTGCCCTGTGATTAGGTTGCATAATCCTAACCCGTCCCACTGCCAACTTTTGGCGGCATCATCATCGGCCAACAAAATCGCGTCATGATGAGGTGCGGCATTAGCGGCAGCAACATAATTACCATGCGAAAAGAAAGAGCCGCGGTGCGAGTAGACTGATAACGCCCCAATCTGGCATCGACAGAGCCTGGCAAAAAATAAGATTTATGGCCGAGGCAATTAAATTGTACATACAGCAGTTTAGCCATAGGCCAAAAGAAGCAAAAGCAAACAATAAACACACGCCTGCCGCCTTGCAGTTGCAGCTTCATCATCTCCTGTAGCCTCTTTGGAAATTGTGTTGGATAACTGTTGTTAAACAATTGCCCGATGTCTGACCATCGCCCGGCCCCTCAATTGGCAATACGTATACGCGGTGTATGACGGGTAGTTCGGGCAGGGCGGTCTTGGCTTAGCAGCTAGATTGTATAAGCAGGTCGGTCGGTGAGAGAGATCCACTAATGACAACTGCAGATGGGAAACAATACAAGTGGGTTACCAAGTGAATAGAGCAGACTTCAGTTCGGAGGAAGCATGAGACTGTCATTATCCACACAGATTATTCGCCGCTTAAATTTATGCTCAATTCGGATTTGAAATCTCTGTGCATGATAGGTATTAACTTTCTTGGGCAATCATTTCTTACGACCCAGATTGCTATCATTTAAATGAGAAAAAGTCGAGTCAGCGCAATGCACTTTCATCTTCCGTAATACACGGGCGGTCCAACAAGTTTGCCATTTTTTATGGACTTCAACTTGACCGACTGCCCGCCAATAAGGACCCCAAAGCCAAACCAGACACACAGTCTAGTTTTGCCTGAAAAAATGGAGCGGGGATTTGCCATTAAAGTCGCCTGCGAAACTGGTTCATTGCTACTTTAGGAGCGTTCACTCGGTGTTTGACTTATCTCTTAACTGTCGAGGGATCTCGGTCTGAAGCTGGTTTTCTGCTCTGGCCGAGAAATTGCATCATCTCATTGCATGGAAAGTTGTAACTCACCCGTTGCCCTCATTGCAGCCGCCCTTTCACAACTCGCAGCGCCGCCAACTGAATCTGCAGCAGTACAATCAGCAAAACTTTGTCCAGGCGGGCGTGGAGCTGCCCATTCCCCACCGCGGCCAGCAGCACGTTCCCCACCAGCAGCACACGCATCTGCATCACCAGCAACAGCCGCAGCAGCAGCAGCAGCAGCAACACCGCTTCGGGCCGTTCCCACAGCAGCAGCAGCAGCAGCAGCAACATCAGCCACAGCAGCAGCAACACAACAATCAGCAATTCCAGCGCTCGACCCAAAACCAACTTCAAACGGCTCCGCAATTCCCGCAGCAGCCGCCACAGCAGTTGCCCTCTTCTTCGGCTGGCTTGGATCTGCATCATCAAAACTTCTTGGACTTGCGTAACTTTGCGGGCTCCCAGCAGCAACAGCAACAGCAGCAGCAACATCCCCAGCAACAGCGCCACAAGCAATTCGGTAAGCAAAACACAAGATCTCTCTTGATCTTCAACCTGTTAACCTATCTGCAATTTCCCTTTAGATTCGCGCTTGCAGTCCACGGCTTTCCCCCCTCAACCCTCGCCGGAAACCTACCAGCAACAGCAGTTGCAACAGCAGCAGCAGCAGCAATTTGGCTTCCAGCAACCCCAGCAATTCGGACCACAAGTTCTTCCACAGACCACACAAAAACTGCCCAGTCAGGCGCCAGTTCCAACTTTTCAGACAATTCCCCAGCAGAACACGCAATTTAACTACCAGCCACAAACCAGTCAGCAGCAATATCAGCTGACTCCCCACTTGGGACTGCCGGTGCCGCAGATCTTCAGTAATGTGCAAGCCACTCCGTTCCCGGAACCCACCAGGGGAACTTTCCACCAGCAACCTCACCAATCTCAGCAGCAACCACCACAGTTCCAGCACCAATTCGTCAATGCTCCGGCCCCAATTCAGCCTCAAGCTCAACCAGCTGACCAGGAGTACAAGCAAAAGCTGATCCAGAAACACGAGCAATTCGTGGCCAAGCAGTATGAAAAGTCGCAGAACAAGGTGCGTCAGCAACACGAAGAGTTCTTGCTGAAGCAACACCAAATCAAGCAGCACATTCTGCCCACAATTGTGACCCAGCATAATGGCAACTACCAGAATTCACCCTATGTTGCAGCTCCGGCACGTGGAAGACCAGTGGCTCATCCCACGGAGTACAATCAATTCAACAGCGCACTGCAACAGTACTACAAAGAACACCCAACAACAACCACAACCACCACGACAACAACCACAACCACTGAGGCAACTACCACTCCCAAGAAAAACATCTACGCTCAGGTGAAATCGGAACTCGGAAAATATCCAAGTCAGAAGGGCAAGAAACCGGTGAAGACCATTGCTCGAGATGACTTGCTCAAGCAACTGAAGGCTGCCTTGTCTGAAGCTCCACAACAACCACTGACTGGCAACAAGACCTACGATGAGATGGATTTGGTGCTGCCCAATGGCCAGCGGGTTCAGGTGATCCGCACCACAGATCCCAACTTGGTTCAGGGACAAAAGGCTTACTCGCAGGAGCAACTGCAAACTTTGCTGGCCCAACAGGCTTTGGGTGGCGAGGCTAAGCTTAGTTTAAGTGACGTGGCGCCCAGCAAGAGCAAGGATCTCGAGTTGCCAGGTGGTGGAAAAGTGCAGATCCTGCGATCCCCCGATCCCCAGGAATCGGACACTCTGCCTTCCGGTTCTCTACCCGGTGGAGTGGATCTCTCCAGCTTGGCTGCTCTTTATGGCGGTGGAGCAGGTGATATCCAGGGAATCAGCAGTGGAGCAAACAGCATTGCCAGCTCGGCAGTTATCACCTCGGATTCGGATGACCCACCTTCCCTGGAAGAACTGGCCAAGCGAGGACTCATTCCCGATGGCTATGAAATTGAGGGACTGAGCTCAAAGTCCCAAGCACCGGCCACCGCACCACCACCAACATTGCCGCCCAAGAAGAAGGCCACCTACGTTTACCTCGAAGAGCAGGCGGATGGCAGCTTTAAGATCCAGGGAGTGAAGGCCAACGGGGAGAAAGAGACCAAGCAAACAGGATCCGAAGTGGAAAGCATTCTGGAGAGGATCAGGAGTGGTGAAATCAAGCTGCCTCCCTCCGTCTCTCGACTGACCTTGCCCAACGATGAGCTGGTTGAGATCAAGAGCGGCAAGATTATCCAAACCACGCGTGCACCAACCACTACTTCCACTACTACAACCACCACCACAACGACTACTACTCCAACTCCATTTATTTCCCGTGGAACGCCCAGCAACCACAGGCAGTATCATCCATCAAGAACTTCGACAACAACCACCACAACCAACTTGCCACCAACTTCGCGCCACAATTTCAATTTTGAGAGCAGCACCAACCACGCAAATGCCGCTAGTTTGATCCGCACCACTCAGGCTCCAGTTTACGGTGGATCTACGGTCACAGTTTCTCCTTATCTCGAAGGTGTATCCACCCACCTGCCAGTGGTGACCGAGAGGCTCTCCGAAGTGGCGACCAACCCAGAGTTGCTGCCACCTGTGCCCCAATATGCCGATGCCCTCGTTCAGGAAACTGAGAATACAGAGAAGGCGGCTCAGGCCAGTCCAGCCACCAGTTCCGTGCTATCCAATCCCAGCGAGGATCTGCTGCAGATACTCAAGTCTAACGGTCTCTTTGCCATGGCCAAGTACCTAAGGCAGTCCGGTCTGGACAGCATCCTCAACGAAACCGGACCCTACACCATCTTCGTGCCCACGGACAAGGCGTTCAAGAATCTGCTGGTGCAGTTGGGCGGACCCGAAAGGGCCGAGGAGAAGTTCCAGTCCAATCCCAGATTGCTGAGCGGGGTAAGTTTACGCTAAGATTTTAATAAAAGCTACTAAGGAGCTTTTATAAATTCAACAATCGATTAGGTTTGCCTGTGGTAAAAATATTAAGTTTCTTAAAAAGTTTTTATAAACAAAATCTTGATTTATTGGTTTATAATTTATTTTATTTTATTTAAGCTAAGTTTTAAAAATTGTATAAAAAAATCTTCATTATGTTAAAAAGTTTATTAAATTGAGTATAGTCAGTCTTTTATATTTTCTCAAGTTTTTTTTTTAATATATTTAAATTTTTTTTCCTTCAGCTGCTCCTCCACCATGTTATTCCAGGAGCCTTTGAAATTGCCACCCTGCAGGACGAAATGACAGGCGTGTCCTTGGCTGGAACTCAATTGCGAGTAAATCAGTACAACATGCATGATCAAGAGTGGAACGATGTGACTGTAAGAGGAGCTGCGTTAATTTTATCTTACCTAAAAACTAAAGTTACATACCACTTTTGCAGCTCACCACCATCAACGGAGCCATGGTTGTGCTAAACAAGAAGGACATTAAGATACCACAGGGAGTGGCCCACGCAGTGGATCGAGTGATGTTCCCACTACCAGTTGGAGATATTCTGCAGACTCTGCAATCAGATCGCGAAGGTCGCTTCAGCAATTTCCTTAAGATTCTGTACACCTCTGGATTGTCTGAGAAACTGCAAAGCAAGGGTAAGAAAAATAGTTTTTTTTCAAGAAATGATTCAGTAATATATAATGTAAATTTTCAGGTGTGAAAACCTACACGGTATTTGCTCCCGTGGATAAGAGCTTCAGCGAACTGGATTCTGACACTCTGGAGAAGCTGTACAACGACAAGGAGGTCGCCGAGCAATTTGCCATGAAGCACATTGTTCCCGGGGCTCTCTTCTCCGCCGGAATGCGTTTCTACCAGGTCAAGGACTCGCTGTCTACAGGCAAGACTGTTATCCTGCAGAAGACATCCGCAGGCAAGATCAAGGTGAACGATGCCCAGATGGTCACGTCGAATATTCCAGCCACCAATGGAGTGATCCATGCCCTGGATGGAGTCCTAGCGTGAAGAGATTAGAGCTGCGAAGGCCCTTTGGCGGCCCTTCTTGAAGCAGTTTTTAAGCCTTAAGAGTAAATTTAAGCGAGGAGGAGTTTCATCAACCACATCCAAAATTGTTAGTGAAATCTTGCCAAAGTCCTTTACTGGACTTAAGAAATTACAATCTTTCACAGAACTGGTGCGAATCCAACGTGTGTAAGAGATATATGCAACGATTTGGTGCTTCCATAAACTTTTCTGTCATTTTTCTTTTTCGCCTTCATAAAACAGTCATTACAAATAGTTCAATTTAAGAAAGGAGCAGAGAATGTGTAAAAAATAAACCAAGAGAAGTGGAAACTGATTGGGATCTATGTTAAGTTCACATATAATTTATTTTTGGCATTAAATTAAATGCAAATTAATTTACAAAATTCTGTAAAATAAATAAAGTATAGTTAAGTATAATTTAAAGCTGGTTTTATTCACGTTAAGCCTAATTGCGATTACAGGATTAAACTCGACACAAGAGTTCGCCGATGTATGTGCTTGAAAAGTCGAAGTCATAAAAGCTACCGTCAATTTTTAAAACTTTCAATATATTTCTAATTGAAATTCCATTCTCGCACAATCAATCTGCTATTTGTTATCATTTGACAAGGGTCCAAGTGCTGTCGTTAGGTTATCTGAAACACAACAAAGAACACTGCTTAGCTGTTTCTACATAAATAGTTGCATTTAAACTCAAGGTATCAGTGCTTACAAAGAACTCAAGATGGTAAGAATGGCTCTGCACTATCAACAAAGTATTCAATATTCTACATTTTTAGTGCGATCGTCTCATTTTGGTACTTGCCCTGTGGACTGCACTTACCATTACTACAATACAAGCAGCTACAACAAATTCAACTTCAGATGCATCAATAGTGTGTATACTTTTTCCGGAATTGCCGCTATGTAAAAGCCAGACAACTACAACGACCACAGCCACCGAAAAAACGACAACAACCACAATTAGCCCAACAACAACAACGGAACAATCAACTACCTCCACAGCAGCTCCAACAACAATAACAGAATTATCAACTACCACCCCTACTGCTGCAACGACCACAAAAACATCAACAACAACCACCACACCTCCGACAACTACAGAACAATCAACTTCTACCACTGCAGCTCCAACTACAAAAACAGAAAAATCAAATACCGCCACTGCAGCTCCAACCACAACAACAGCTCCAATGACCACAGAAACATCAACAACAACCACCAAAGCTCCAACAACTACAGAAAAAACCACAACCGGCTCAACAACAACACAATCAACTACCACCACTACAGCTCCAACCACAACCACAGCTCCAACGACCACAACAACATCAACAACAACCACCACAGCTCCAACAACTACAGAAAAAAAAAAACCACAACCGCGTCAACAACAACACAATCAACTACCACCACTACAGCTCCAACCGCAACAACAGAAAAATCAACTACGACCGCTACAGCTCCAACGACCACAGAAACATTAACAACAACCACCAAATCTCCAACAACTACAGAAAAAACCACAACTGCCTCAACAACAACACAATCAACTACCACCACTGCAGCTCCAACCACAACAACAGAAAAATCAACAACCACCACTACAGCTCCAACGACCACAGAATCATCAACAACAACCACCAAAACTCCAACAACTACAGAAAAACCACAACCGCCTCAACAACAACACAATCAACTACCACTACTGCAGCTCCAACCACAACAACAGAAAAATCAACTACGACCACTACAGCTCCAACAACCACAGAATCATCAACAACAACCACCAAAGCTCCAACAACTACAGAAAAAACCACAACCGCCTCAACAACAACAAAATCAACAACCATCACTACAGTTCCAACCACAACAACAGAAAAATCAACTTCGACCACTACAGCTCCAACGACCACAGAAACATCAACGACAACCACCACAGCTCCAACGACTGCAGAAAAAACCACAACCGCCTCAACAACAACACAATCAACTACCACCACTACAGTACCAACCACAACAACAGAACAACCAACTACGACCACTACAGCTCCAAAGACCACAGAAACATCAACGTCAATCACCACAGCTCCAACAACTACAGAAAAAACCACAACAGCCTCAACAACAACACAATCAACTACCACCACTATAGTACCAACCACAACAACAGAACAACCAACTACGACCACTACAGTTCCAACCACAACAACAGAACAATCAACTACGACCGCTACAGCTCCAACAACGACAGAATCATCAACAACAACCACCACAGCTCCAACAACTACAGAAAAAACCACAACCGCCTCAACAACAACAAAATCAACTAACACCACTGCAGCTCCAACCACAACAACTGAAAAATCAAATACGACCACTACAGCTCCAACGACCACAGAAACATCAACAACAACCACCACAGCTCCGACAACCACAGAACAATCAACTACTACCACTGCTGCTCCAACTACAACAACAGAAAAATCAACTACCACTACTGGAGCTCCAACCACAACAATAGAAAAATCGACTACGACCACTACAGCTCCAACAACCACAGAAACATCAACAACAACCACCACAGCTCCAACAACTACAGAAAAAACCACAACCGCCTCAACTACCACCACTACAGTTCCAACCACAACAACAGAAAAATCAACTTCGACCACTACAGCTTCAACGACCACAGAAACATCAACTACGACCACCACAGCTCCAACGACTACAAAAAAAAACCACAACCGCCTCAACAACAACACAATCAACTACCACCACTACAGTACCAACCACAACAACAGAACAACCAACTACGACCACTACAGTTCCAACCACAACAACAGAACAATCAACTACGACCACTACAGCTCCAACAACGACAGAATCATCGACAACAACAACCACAGCTCCAACAACTACAAAAAAAACCACAACCGACTCAACAGCAACACAATCAACTACCACCACTACAGTTCAAACAACAACAACAGAACAATCAACTTCGACCACTACAGCTCCAAAGACCACAGAATCATCAACGTCAACCACCACAGCTCCAACAACTACAGAAAAAACCATAACAGCCTCAACAACAACACAATCAACTACCACCACTATAGTACCAACCACAACAACAGAACAACCAACTACGACCACTACAGTTCCAACCACAACAACAAAACAATCAACTACGACCGCTAAAGCTCCAACAACGACAGAATCATCAACAACAACCACCACAGCTCCAACGACTACAGAAAAAACCACAACAGCCTCAACAACAACACAATCAACTACCACCACTACAGTACCAACCACAACACAATCAACTACCACCACTACAGTTCCAACCACAACAACTGAAAAATCAAATACGACCACTACAGCTCCAACGACCACAGAAACATCAACAACAACCACCACAGCTCCGACAACCACAGAACAATCAACTACTACCACTGCTGCTCCAACTACAACAACAGAAAAATCAACTACCACTACTGGAGCTCCAACCACAACAACAGAAAAATCGACTACGACCACTACAGCTCCAACAACCACAGAAACATCAACAACAACCACCACAGCTCCAACAACTACAGAAAAAACCACAACCGCCTCAACTACCACCACTACAGTTCCAACCACAACAACAGCAAAATCAACTACGACCACTGCTGCTTCAACGACCACAGAAACATCAACGACAACCACCACAGCTCCAACAACAACAGAACAATCAACTACTACCACTGCAGCTCCAACTTCAACAACAGAAAAATCAAAAACCACCACTGCAGCTCCAACCACAACAACAGAACAATCAACTACGACCACTGCAGCTCCAACGACCACAGAAACATCAACAACAACCACCACAGCTCCAACAACTACAGAAAAAAACAACAACCACAATCGCCCCAACAACAACCACAGAGCAATCAACTACCACAACTACAGCTCCAACAACAACAACAGAAAAATCGAATACCACCACCACAGCTCTAACGACCACAGAAGAATCAACAACAACCACCACAGCTCCAACAACTACAGAACAATTAACTACTACCACTGCAGCTCCAACTACAACAACCGAAAAATCAACTACCACCACTGCAGCTCCAACCACAACAACAGAACAATCAACTACGACCACTGCAGCTCCAACAACCACAGAAACATCAACAACAACCACCACAGCTCCAACAACTACAGAAAAAACAACAACAACCACAATCACCCCAACAACAACCACAGAGCAATCAACCACCACAACTAAAGCTCCAACAACAACAACAGAAAAATCGAATACCACCACTAAAGCTCCAACAGCCACTGAAAAAACAACTACAACCACGATCGCCTTAACAACAACTACCGAACAGTCAACTACCACCACTGTATCTTCAACGACCACCTCAAATTCAACAACAGACACCACTGCTTCCACATCCACCACAGAACCCACAACCACCACAGCTCCCACAACCACCACTGCTGCCACAACCACCACAGCTCCCACAACCGCTATAAAAACAACCACAATTTCCCCAACAACAACAACTGAAAAAAGAACAACGACCACTACTACTTCTCCTCCACAACATCACCATCATCATCATAATCATCACGAAATCATTGGTGTCCTTCCATTGCCCTTTCCACCATTGCCCCCACCCCCACCACCAGTACCACCCCCGCCTCCACCACCATTACCTTTGCCTCCACCAATTCCCCTTCTTGAGTCGTTGCCTGAATCCAATTCCGCAGTGATTGCTATTCTACCATTACCGCCTCCACCTCCAATTCCGCCATTTCCGCGTCCCCCACGTCTTCCAAGACCTCCTCTACCGTTTGGAAATTTTTTTGGTAAATAATTTCTATAAACCTAAACAATAAAAACTATAAAATTTAATTCGTCTGGAAAGGAATCAGTAAAGGCATAGAATATGCCAACAATAATCTTTTTACAGTAATATTGAAGGCGCCATCTACATGTCAATATTCACACTAAGAATGGATGAATGATGTTTGTCAATTACAGATGTAGATATTATTATATTTTACATGGATCCCAGGGCTGTCACAGCTTCTTGATGTAAATAACGGATTTGATTTGTTTTGAAAACTCCATTAAACCATATTATATTATATTATAATAATATTTAGAGTCATTCCATTCCAATCACTTCGTATAAAATATATAATACCAATAAATCCCAATAAAAATTTCAGTTTTTTAATGTACATATAATTCTCATAAATTCTTTATTAATTCGATTTTTAAAATGTCTTGTTTCATTTGTGTTGCCCTCGTGTTAGTTTAATTAGTTTACTCGTCAATGCAAATGCCACACATTACATTATATTTAAGTATTCCGTATAAATATTTTCTCCTGCCTTGCAAGCCATTCATCAAGTTCGTTTGGAGTATTTATTTAGTTTTAGTCAATAATTATTTGTGGTTAAATAATTTTAGCAATTAATTTATATAATTAAATTCTATAATTTGCCTTGCATAGCGGTTCTCCCTTTCGTTCTGCACACTCATACATACCAATGTTCCATGTGTTTCTATGTGTTTGTGTAAATGTTTTCTTATTTTTACATGCACATTTATATTTGCAAAAAACATGAATGGCTATTTTGTATTTAAATATTTTATTCCGTATCTATTTAAAAATCGAATGTGAGCAAAAAGCAACAGTCAAACTAAAAATGTCTCAGAATGAAAACTTCAAAATTATATACACTTAACAAAAAGGGAATCAGATAAGAAACTCAATAGTAATGAAGAACAATAAATCCTGGAAACAGTATACAAATGTAATTTCTAAACGTTAAATACACATTTACCAACATCTATGCCTTACTTCATTTCCATAAATTTTTTTTTACATTTTCTTTTATTAATTTTTAGCTTATGCATTGTAATAATTTTTCAAAGTATCACCCTGTGTTTTCTCATAGTTTTACGATTTTTTTTGGTTTTTTTTTTCCTTTTTATCCATTTGCTTAAAATTTACAACAATACTTCAACTTATTTATTATATTTAAATTTTTTTTAACAAATCGCGCACTTTAAAAACGGGCCCGGAATCTGCGGCTCTCCTTAGGACGAGAGTCCAAAAATATGCGATAATAAAAAGTTGAAACAAAATCAATGCGAGTGTTGGTGTATGGCTATTGTAGTTTTTTACTTTTAGTAGACACTGTAGTACGTTGAACTGCTGCTTGGTTTTATTTTTACTAGAGCCGCCTTGCTATCTGAAATGTAACTAATGCTGATCGTCTTTCAGGAAGAAGTTCGAATTGAAATACATTAGAAAGTTCAAGAGAATCCAATGAAACCATCCTTACAGTGGATATTCTTTATCGCCTACCGAAACCGAAAGTGTACGATTTTAAGGAAGTGAAGTTTGAATTGAATTTAGTTTGGAATCAAGTCAGCTAACCTTAGCAGCTCTACTATTTTACTGTTGTGATATTTTCAATATTTCATTTGGTTTTTGTTTATCGTTAAGTTCTATTTTAAATATGCTGTACGTAGTTGGAGGAAAAAACACTTAAAATGTTTTGTTTGAACGAACTTCCTTAACTACATTATGGTTCTGCCTTGCATCCTGTGAGCCAGTCGTTGGTTCGTCTTTCGGTTTTTTGCGCTATATGGTTTGACTATTTTCGCTTAGTTTGGCTTTTGGCTTGTGTTTCGTTTCGTTTGTCTGGAGTGTGTGTGTGTAATTCATTTTAAATTTAATTTAAAATAGGAACAACCCCGCTCGATCCTCGGTTCTCGGGCAACGCCTACTGCTGCTGGACGAGCAGCTGCTCCACCTGATCGGCGGTGCGGAGCAGGAAGGCGGCACTTTCGCGGTAAGCGGATATCACCTGCCGAGCGGCGGTCACCTCGTTGGCGCTCAGCTTGTGCGGCAGGATGGGGGGCGCTCGGACGGACTGGCCGTCCATCCCGCCTCCGCCGGCCACCAGGAGTTGCTGCTGCTGCTGTTGTTGCTGCTGCTGCTGTTGCTGCTGCTGCTGCTGTTGCTGCTGCTGTTGTTGCTGCAGCTGCTGCAACTGCTGCGTGGCGGTCACCAGCGCGTTGTTGTTGTTCGCATTGCTCAAGCTGGCCAGGTTGGCGGCACTCAGCTGCGTGTTGATGTTGCCCGCCACGGAGCTGTTGCTGTTGTTGTTGCTAACCAGGTTGCCGCCGAGGCCGCTGGTCGGCTTCATCGAGAGATCGGTGGGCGTAACTGAAAAGGATGCAGATGAAAGATAAATTTAGTAACCTTTACAAAAAAGTTTTCATAAATACGAGTAATAAATAACAAGCAAGTTAGCAGTAAAATATGTATACGAATTAATGCCTCCTTTTTTTAATATGTATACTTTTTTATTATATATTCTAATAATTAGTTGATTATTTTTAGATTGTTGGGGTGTTCTTTGAATTTTATATATAAATTTTGTATAGTACTTTTGATCGCATTTTCGAGCTTCAACCGTTTTCAAGCAGAAATATTCTTTGTTTATGTTCTGATTTGTTTTTTTTTGACCAGGTGTAATATTTCACTCACCATTTCCCAGGCCAGCCACTCCGGGAAAATACCCAGGATAGCTGGGAGCCCGGCCAGCGGCGACGGCCGCAGCCGCTGCCACAAATGGCGAGGCCGTCGAGGGGGAGCTGAAGTCCGTGGTGTAGGGACTGCTTGCCGGAAGACCGGCTCCGTTCGAGGCTCCTGCTCCGTTGGCCATGTTCAGCCCGGTGACGCTGGCGCCTCCGCTCACGCTGGCATTCGAGCTGAGGGCCAGTGGGGAGCTGCGCGCCGAACTCATTCCGCCACCGCCTCCGCCGGCGGCACCACCGCCCCCGCTGCCGCCCACAGTGCTCGCCCCACCGAAGGGCAGCACGTCCGCGTGCTCCGAGTTGGGTGTGGAGCGTGCAAAGCCGACGGCGCTGACGAACGGCAGTGCTGCGGCCGCCACGCTGGTCAGTCCGCCTTCCGCCACGCCTCCCACGCCGCAGGTCGCCGTGGCGTTGCCGGCGGACGTGGTGCTGGTGCCGCCGGCGCCCGAACTGGTGGCCGCCACCACCGCTGCCGCCGCCGCTGCCGCCGCAGCTGCGGCCACCGCACTTCCGGGAGCGGGCACCGCATGGGTGATCGGCTCCAGGCCGATGCGCATCCGCTTGGCGTTCATCGATTCGTTCTCGCAGGCGATGGCCAGGATTTGCTCCGCCTGCACGGACGTCAGATGGGCGGGAGTGGGGCGGGTCTGAAAAAGTGGAACAAAGTTAGTGGTGAGATTAGTGGCTGTTCGAGTTATTATGATGTGATTTTTAAGAGCAGTAGATAGGTAGAACATAACATATTTGAACGCGATTACTTTAGTTTGGTTTCCAAATTAAAATGTAAAACATTAATTAGTTTTTTACCGATCCGTCCTATTGAAAATAATTTTGTAATTATAAAAAAACAAAACCGCGAGCTTTTAACAAATTCTCCAAAAAACAAAGTTAAACGGTTACTATGGCATGATATTCATAAGATTGTAATTAGATTTTCTTTTTTACAAAAAGTGAGAAATCAATTATTCTACTAAAATCCAACTTACCGTATTCTCCCATCCGTCGCGTGTCTTCTTGTTGCGCCGGCACGACTTGAGATAGGTGCGGATGCGTTTGCGGGATCGGTCACTGAATTCGGGGAACTGCCTTGCGCAGGAGTCGATGATGGCCTGGATCTTCTCCTTGGGCTGCTTCGAGATGGGAATAATGCGATCGAGATTCTCATCGACGAACAGTCGCACGAACATCTGAAAGAGGAGGAAGGATTTATAGCCAGGCAATACATAATTGTGACCAGATTTCTGGCGAATCTTTGGCAACGCTTGGCTTTACATTCGCCGCTCACTCACAGCTCTCGCTTTACTCACATTGAAGGCCTTGAGCCGCTCGGGATCGTGTGTGGTGGCCAGCTTCTCGTCCAGCTTGTCGTCGGAGTCGTCCTCGGACACCTCGTCCTCCTCCTTCTGCCCCGACGAGTTCGTCTCGTCCTGCGTCTCCATGGGCGAGTGGGCATCCTGCCGCGGCACCGGCGACAGTGAGCTGTCCAACTTGCCGCTGGCCGCCGCCGCCGCCGCTGCATTTTGGGCCAGAGCGTTCTGGTACTGCGCCCACAGACCGCCGACGACACTCAGATCCGGACCTTCGGTTCCATTCCGCACTGCCGTCGAGTTCTGGTAGTTCCAGGCCAGCAGCATCAGCTTCAGCTTGTCCGCGTCCTTCATTAGGCCGGCATAGGCCTCGGATTCGTTGACGGCGCCCAGTCCGCTGACCACATCGCCCAGCAGTCCGCCGGCTCCGCCCACTCCGCTGCCACCGCCCCCCCGCGCCTGCTCCTGCCCCTCCTCCGCCGACGCCGCCGACGCCCACACCAACTACGCTGGCGGTGGCATCGGTGCTCACGACCGGTGTTGCCGGAATGGTTTCCTGTGGATTAAAGTAAGAAGAAATGCTTGATTAGTACAAAAATATTATTCTTATATCAAAACAGAAGAATTTTTAAAGCTTTTAAACTTTTTATATCTTTCAGAGGTTTTGCAATACGACATTTTCCTTTTACTAACAAGTAGCAATTGTTGTCAAAATGGTCTTTTGTTAATGATGTCGGATTTTGGATTGGTATACCTCAAAATTCTTGTGACATAGCCCCTAAGAGACTGCATCATTAGTTTGGTTTCGATTTTTGGCTTTTCCGGAATATGGCCTAAAACCAGCACTTGGAAGCCCATAACTTTTAAAAATGTTGTCTGATTTTGGATTGGTATACATAAAAATGCTTGTAACAAAGTCCTCTAACCTGAAATATGGCCATTTCGGAAAATGGCCTAAAACCAGCCCTTGCAAGTCCATAACTTTTGTTATCCTTCTCAGAAGAGCAAGAAAAAAATATATATCCCCTTTTAAATATTTAGCTGGCTGTTTTCTATGCATGGATGTTAATATCAGATAATTGAGGTCTGTTAAAAATGAATCAAATCAAAAAACCTGAATACATTTGGTGAGCAGTTAATTACACTCCCAAATGCTATACCGGAAACAAATTCTTACTTCAGATTTTCTGTTTGTATAATTGTTTTTTCCTTCCGGTTGCGATGAGCGAACTTTTCAAAAACCGCACAAACTTTCGGGACTCAGTTCGATATGCCAAATCCCAATGATTAGAAGTAGAACCAGTTGGAAGTTCGTTGGACCATTGAAAAGAATGCAAAAAAGACGCAACGTCAAAGAAAGCGCCCCAAAAACCAGCCAGGGCTTCAAGGGGAAAGTTTTTCCGACTTTCATCTTCAGGCCAGGTCCAGTTCACCCTCAATCTGCTCCTTTCTCCTTTTTGCCGGGTCGTCCGTTCTTGGGGTTGCCTTTTTTCACTGTCCGCCTTTTGTGCACTGGAAATTAGTCGACTTGTTGGGCCGGGGTTGGGTCACTTCAAGGGGAAAGGGGAATGGAAACGGGGAAACGGGGAAAGGGGGGCTTACGGGCTCAGATTCTTGTTCTGCCCCTTTGCGGCCGACATGGTTCTAATGAAACATTTCGCCCAAGACGTTGGGCGTCCGGCACACAAGCTTTTTTCCTCCGCACTCCTTTGGTTTTTGTGGTTGAAGGACACTCCTAAGGTGGGGCGCTTGTGGGGTTTTTCGAGATTGGGGATTTGGACTGGGAGCGGCAGCACAAATGAAGCTGTGTTCCGTGTGGATGGCCATCGAGATTGAGGCTTCCTTCGTTCTCCCTTTAAACGTGAATGGACTCCCAGTCTTAATTAACATTAATTTGCTGGATCTCTGGGGCATATGGGTGGGTTACTCTCAGAAATGATTTAAAGAATTTTTCGGCAAGACAAAAACTTTCCGATAGCTAAGAAAACGGAATTCTAAAAGGGTCAACATTTATGGCGGCAATATATTTTCTTTGAGAGCGCTCTATTATCCTCTGCAACTATACCTTTTTTATTCATAAGTTAATTACCATGAGACCCTTTTTTGTGCCCAACAGATTGCAAAATTTGATTTTACTCATCGGCTTTTGGGCTGAGTTCGAACAAATATTTTCCAGTTTATTGCCAGAAAGTGAAACAAATATTTGATTTCTTACCTACGGCTTGTAGGTATATAAATGTGTCTGTGTGGATGCCGTTCGATACACAAGCAAGCCCGCCCACACATCATGTGCAATTTCTTTTAATTTCTTCAGCACGATTGCGTAGTTGGGTTTCGAATTTGAATTCTCATTAGACTAAGTTGTCAGGCCACAGCTCGAGACCGACTCGAGACTGACAGTTCGCCCCGCTCCCCAAGAACCACCCGTTCGCAGAGCTTGTCTCAAGCATCCTTGCTCGCACCTCCCCCGAAAACCGATGTCGTAACCACAAAAACTTTGGAGTTACCCCAAGCCCCCAAACACACACCACACACACACACGTTCGCTGGAGGGGGTGGTGTGAGACTGAGACAAAAACTAATGCATATGTTTAGGCATTTTAATTTATATACACACTCACACACGGGGCGAAGTTCTAAGAAAGCCCACACACACACACTAACCCCCACCGATTCCCGTTCCCAATCCGAAACCCTAAGCTCCCCAGACCGCCGCCTCCTTCGACGTTGATAAAAGCAACTTCCATTTCATTTAAACTACAATTTCCTTGACAGTGCACAGAGGCAACCCCTGGCAGGGATGTTGTTCGGTCTCTGGTAGGAGGAAGGAATGGGCTGCGACTGGGATTGGGAATGGGAATGGGCAACTGGGACCCAGAACTCAGGACTCAGGACTCAGGTCTTGGCAACCCTTTCACGCACTTATGAGTTAAACGCAAATTTTCTTAGCTGCCTTTTAGGCGCTCCTCCGCAGAAAGGGAGGCGGTAGCAGCCTCTGTCTGGAGAAATATGTCATCGGCAGTTGGCAACGGGGGTAAAGGGGAAATGCAGGACGAAGGACGAGAAACGAGGGACGAGGGAGGAGGGACGGAGGACGATTCCTGGCTGGGTGGTAATTCATTATGCGTGTGCTTAGAGGTTGCCGGCATTGTAGTTGTGTGCTCCAGACGCAGTCGAAGTCAAAGTCTGCTTTTAGGCTGGCAGCCAGCAACAGCACATGTTTATCCTCCACCATGTCACCTCATCGGATTGTTAGTTTTGGGGGCTGCCTTCTCTGCATTGAGCTTCGTGCCTCCCCCTTTCCCTCCTTCCACTTTCCCCCTTTTGCTTTGCTTTAACTACTAAGATGCCACAAGCCCGCATATTTCTGATATTTAGAGGAGCTTCCTTTTTCCCCTTTCCCCAATTCTTAGAGCCTCTGCCGAAAAAGGGTAACTTCAAAAGCAACTTTCCCCAGACAAGAAATGGAAGTAAGTGCTAGGTTGTATGGCCACTCCTAATATTTCCATGTGTGCGTGTGTTATGTGTATTTGTGTGGTGTGTCTGTATGCTTCCCTGCCTGGCAGGTGTTACTCATACGCCTCGTGGGCTGCTGTCAGGCCCAAAACAAATTACTTGCCAAGAAGGAACAGCCCCACATCTTTGGCCTGCGGCTGCCGTTTGGCAAAGTCAAGGTTGCCCGGGCTGAGACTAAGCCAAATCCGTAAGTTGAATCTGAATTTGAGGCCTCATGCAGTCACAAAGATTCCCGACGGAGTTGTTCCGGTTTCGTCACAGCCTGGGTCTTTGAAAAATTCTGCAAGAAGTCTGGACCCAAGTCTTTGTCCAGTCCCTGTCCCTGTTTCTTTACCAATTCAAGTTTCGTTTTAATTAATGGAAAATTGTGAATTTTCTCCTTTATCATGTGGCTGGCTCTTCAATGGCCAAGGATATGGGAAAGGGTTTGGCACGAGACTCTTGTCGACTCGATTGCCAAAGGAAATTGAAAGATGCAGCACGAGTTCTGAGGAAAATTGCTTCTCTCTGCTTGATTAGAATGTTGTCTGGTGGGTTTTCGCTTTTGGAGTACGGCAAACACTTTATAGAGCAACCTTTAGAGTTACCCAAAAAGCACAGCACCGACACAACTTCCAATGAACGTTCCTATTCCAGTGGAGCCCGGAACTTTTTTCCATTTAGGTGCATTCCATTCCATTTGGGTTAAAAATCCAGCTGCAACCCTCGAATGCATTAAATGCATGTACTGCGCCATAGAATATATGTATATAAAATCCCGAAAAAACTCCTACAATAAAATAATATCTACGCTGGTCAAAGCAATTACAAAAAGTGAGCGGCACAAACATGGAAACTGCATTCTACGTGATGGGCCTCCATGCAGTGCACCAACATAAAAAAATATATTGAGAATATATAGAAAAAAACCAGCGGACGACGGTGTGGGTAGGATACGTCAGGACAGTTTCAAATTAGTTACCAGGCACGGTTTTAGCCGTCGGCTGGGCGATCAAAAGGGGCGGGTAGCGTAACAACAACTCACAACAAATACCCTGTCATGTATATGAAATATTGAAAGCGATATACATAAGTGATATGTGTGCGTTTACATAGGTTGTATATGACTCTGGTATTTGAATAGGGTTATTTATTTGCTCAACGCCCAAAAAGGCGACAAAGGGCGTGTTATGAATCTGGTAATAACAGGCTTAGTTTGATAGTCCAAACGGGAATTATGGCCAGGTAAGCTGTGCATTGATTTTTAAGTGCCGATGGATGATTAAAAAATAGATTTATGAAGTGTTTTCCATCAACAGTTATTCGAAAGAGATCAGATTTGTCAGGTGATCGCACCACCGCAATGCCCAAAAATTCTCTACTGACCCTAATCTGAATACATATGTAAGTCTCCAGTCTATTGTTCTGATATCATCTGCATATTTGGTGTCTGACTGTCGTCGTGGCAACTGCCAGCACTCATACGCCCCGTGTGCGCTATTATAAAATTTTCACGTTTCCGTTGAAATTTCTATTTAATTTTTTTTTTATTTTTTAGCGCGCGGTACGCACAAAAGCAAAGGGAGGAGCATTTCAGAAGCGGGAAAAGTGGAAACTGTTGTTGTAATGGTTCTTGCTAAAAAGCGAATGCATCTGTAGGTGAAAAGCGGGGGGAGTTGGAAAAGCTGGATGTGAAAAGGGGGTGGCACCATCGTACTTATTTTATGCTTTGCACTTGCCGCGAGAAATGAACAAAGTGCAATAACAATTGGCAACAAAAAATGCAGCAGCCGAGAAATATGAGATGTTATAAAGGAGGAGCTAGAATGCTCTGTGTTTATAAAATTGTGAGTTAATTTAGATGACACAAAAGTAGGAGAAAAAGATATTCAGGCTTGCCTGTTGAACTAAGAGTAGAGTAATCATTTTCTATTTGGTTAGTAATAAAGCTAAGCAAAGATCCAATAGGGTATTAAAGAGCTGTCGTGTTTTTCCAACAAAGGATGCATGGAATCAGGGCTTAGTACCGATTGCATTTGCGAGTGAATTTAGGGGAGGCAA